CCAAATTACTATAAAATTTGATCGTTTACTAATTCTTTTTATCTTTTTTGTGTTTGTCGAACCAAAAAAATGCTTGAATATCGATCGATAGAAAGTTCAAAAAAAATACAGTTCTTTGGAATACTAATAGAAAAAATCGAAATAACTGTTCAGAAATATACATTTCAATCATCTAAATTAGCATTTGTTATTTTACGATGACTTATGACTTTATCTTTGCACAATCCGCTGAAAAACATCGTTAGAACTTCTCGGTAATCTTTTCCTTCACTGTAAGCCTGTATGGTTTTCCAAAATCGAGGAAACAGCTTTAAATGAATTTCTCGATCGACGAAATTTTGTTTTGCTTCGGGCATCAAAATAATCAATTTTTGAAACTCTGATCCGTTTCTTTACGGATATATTGCTTGGAATGGTTTTTAACCTATGAACGTATTTGAGTGAAAAATGCGTTTTTTATTCAAAAGTCCCTTGAGGGATTTCAAGATGTTCATATAGTACACGGAAGTATTTTTCACCAAAACACGTTTCAAAAAATCAAAGGCTATAACTTTGTTGCGCGTCGAAAGCCGGTTCTTTTGGAGCAAGAATGAAGTCTCCAGGTATTCAGCAAAAAAACTAGTAGGCTTTGCCATTTTCCATAGTGCAAGCAAAGGGTGTAGGCCGCTTGGATTTGCGTAGGGAGGACGTTGTATGCGATCGAGCTCGAGACAACTTTTTTAGGCTCATTTTCATACGAGGAATCCGAATATCACGTCGAAAATTTCATAAAATGAAAAGCAAAATTTTTGGGGCAATTTTTCGGAAAACATAGATTTTTCGAGTTTTTGACAGTTTGTCAGTATTTTTCATTTTTCTCCGTCAAAACTTTGTTTAAATCAAAAAATAAGGCCAGATTCGGAATCAGCAGCATACAACGAATTCGAATATGTGTGTTTAAACGAAAAATAAAAAGTGCTGAAATTTTGAATTACCGGCGCCTTACCAAGCATAACGAATCATGAATAGAAATCCAGGCACCCTTATTTGATTGTGGACTAATGACTTTAGCCGAATAATGTTATTTCGCTCCGCCAAATGAATATGCAAATCGTCGAGCGTCATTCGATCATAAATTCGGCGGACAGTCATCTTATACTCTCTGTTAAAAAACACATCCAGTGGCTGCATCATCTGTGTGTTCGAAGGAATTTGCATTCGCTTCAGTCCTTTCATCTTTTCGTAAATCCTTCTTCCAGAGATGTGTGACAAACTGTCTAAAGATGAATTGACAAATAGTAATTTCTAAGCATAAAAATGATGCAACTATTCGCAGTTTATACTTATTCTGCGAATTCGCACCCAATTGATGCGAGCTGCAACGAATTTTTACGGATACTCTTAAAAACGATTACGAATTAAACGTACGAATTCGCAGACATACAAACAGATCAAGCACGACACTCACCAGTTCGGAAAAAATTCGTAAACTTGCTTTGAGAATTTGTGTTCAGTCCTTTCACAACTATAACGATTAGTAAATTCCAATCAGCAAATTCGTATTACGAACTGATCTAGCGCTCGAAAATGACCCACGAATTCGCAAACCCGAGCGAAACGGTCTATCAGGTGGCGGCAATTTTCACGAATTCGAAGAATACCAACTGATGTCACGGACGAGAAGCTTTTCTATCAGATAAAAAACAGACAGATTCCTCTCTTCGCATCGGTTCGCACAGTTATCAAGTCAGTTCGCTGTTATCTCCACCAATTCGTAAAATAGAAATTGACACCTAGAGTCCGAAGGTTCTCTACGAGCTAACAAAGAGATAGATTCGTCTCTTCTCATCGATTCGCATAGTTCTCAGCTCACTTCGCCGCTGTTTTCATGAATTCGTAAAATACGAATTGTTGTCAGGGATGAGACGTTTTTCTATCAGGTTAAAAATAGATAGATTCTTCTCTTTGCATCGATTCACACAGCTCTCAACGTAATTCGCCGTTATTTAAACGAATTCGCATAGTTCTCACCCCACTTCGCGGCTGTTTTCACGAATTCGGAAAATACGATTTGATGCCAAGAAGACGTTTTTCTAACAGGTTCAGAACAGATAGCTTTATGTCTTCCCCTCGATTGGCACAGGTGTAAACTTAATTCGCCGTTATTTAGACGAATTCGTAAGATATGAATGGATACCAATCGGAAGAACGTGTGGTATGAGGTTAAAAATAGCTCTATTGGTCCTGCTCATGGATCCGCGTAGTTCGCACCTCGATAAGCCGCTGGTTTACCAATTTGTAAAATACGAATTGATGAAAAGGATGAGGAGCATTTCCATGGGGTTAAAAGTAGAAAGATTCCTCTCTTCGCATCGATTCCCATAGTTCTCAGCTTAATTGGCGCTGTTTTCACGAATTCGTGAAATACGAAGTCAGGTCAAGGATGACGAGCATTCCATGGGGTTAAAAATAGATAGGTTGGTCTCTTGTCTTGGATTAGCACAGTTGTCACCTCAATTCGCGGCTGTTTTCACGAACTCGTAAAGTAGGAATTGATGTCAAGGACGAGACGGTTAAAACCAGATACATTTTAGCATCGACTCGCATAGTTTTGACGAATTGCTAGAGTACGAACTGATCTCAACGGCGAGGGGTAGTTCCGTGAGGTTAGAAATAGTTAGATTCGCCTCTGCTCCTCGAGTTTTCGCACTAATTCTCGACAAGAAGAAAAAACCAAAGCCACTAGCTCAAAGCTTACAGCAACAACAAGATCAGGATCCGGAGGTCAACAGTCATATCAAAGTCACCCAACGTCATCAGGGCACCCTGCACAGAAATTGAAAACGAAAACAGTCCTGAAGTCATGCATAACAGCTCTATGGCTGATGATACATTCGGTGGTCCTTCTTCAACACCTTCATTTGCAGAAGAGAACGATTGGGAAAATGAAAATAGATCTTCTAGATACCAAATAAGTTAGAGACCTGTTAATTATGCATCGGTAGCAGAAATAACATATTTCAAAATACTGAATCTAACAGAAATACTGAAGTTGTCGCAAAAAACTTTACGAACTTTTCAAAGCACTCTCTAATAAACAAACGAAAAAACTGTGAGGATATAGATCCTTTAGTGGCTAACTCTAATCGTAGTAGTGAAGCTATAGTGAGAATCAACTCTCACTCCGATCTCTTTATGTGAAGCAAATGAACGGCTATATATAGTACAAAAGTTAAACAAGAGTTTTGCAAGAGTTGCGCATGGGTTACATAAGAACAGAAAGAGTTGGGAAAATACCCTGCGGAAGGAAACGAAAACGAAAGAATGAAACAAGAGTTGCGCAATAACAGAATTGCGCAAGAATGATACAAGAGCAGAATGGAGAGAGAATGAAACTTATGAGCTGCTGGGGAAGGCAGATCATAACAAAAACCTCTCTTTCAATGCTCCTCTTTCACCTCGCTCATCTGACTTTTCTATGTCATTTCGTTTTTTTTTACTAAAAATTCAACTGAAAAAAAGTGATCCATGGTCAGCCACTCGGTATTTGAAAACACGTATTCATGTTTACCGAACAACTGCCATTATTCAAGCAATTGAAATGACAGGTGAAGTCTGCAAACAATTCATTAGAAAATTAGGTAGTTTTTATGATGGTGCCGAAAATCTAAAATTTTATAATAACGTATCAATAATTGTCAGACAGATGCAGATGTATTTTAATCCCACAGTAAATAGTGATCGATTATTTATACTTAATAAAATTATCATCGAATCTGCAAAATATTTTACTCAAGTGTTGAACAAACAATATATTGCTATGTTACATCCGTCAGCTCAAATTCTAGCGTCGCCGATCAGTAAGAAGCTAAAAATAATACAAGATCGCCCGTCGACTTTGATCCAATAGCAAAAAACATACAAGAATTGATTAAAGCAATATTATTAAATGGACCAATTTTAAGGACTCCAACTTCGTTGCATTCTCACGTTAGCAAGATAAAAAATTTTGGAAGAACCAGCGGCAATCGTCCTGAACTATTACAATCACTTACGATTACTTGGCCAAAGATGTGATGATGGTGCGTCTTTTCAACGATGGTGCAACGCCTACATCAGGGAGTAGAACACACTCACACAATGTCTGTCTTCTAAGATTTCCTGATACAAATAGTAATAAAGCAAAGACCGATATAGCTCAACGTCTGAGTCAAGTGCCGCTTATATTTGAATCTTATAATCGTACAACAACATCGCTAGATGTTCGTAATGATAAATTGAAACTCAACACAGCGGTACTTAATTATTTGAAAAAACCACCATATCGTTTTATCATCAATCAAAACAGTATTAAGATATACTGGCCGGAAAGTCCAGCAACAACACCAGGATCATTAGCTGCAAGTTCTCAGTCAGCTGTTCAAACTCAGTCACCACAGCAACAAAAACGTACACCCATCAACACCGTAACATCACCCCATCACCCCGCAACACCGGCTAATCTTCAAATTACATTACCACGCTTTAATGGCGCTGCAGCTCAACGTCGGACTTCCAACGATCAAAATGCATCAGGAAAATCACTGGCCACTCGATCAGTAACAAGAACAACACAAAGTCAGCAACAAAAAACTAATAATGACAACAATAAAAACAAACGAATTTGAAGAAAAGTTTTGTTTTTATTATCATTATCACTGAAAAAATCATAATAAAGACGAAACGTCTCTAACGGAAAATAGCTATTTTCATTATGATAAAGGTGGTTTATATCTTATTGTCTATTTTAAAATTTTTCACCTTAAATGATGATTCAATCATTTTATTTTTGTTTATTTATGTCGTCATCCTCTGTGCCGTTGTCACCAGGTAACAATTAAACAATTTCTGAATGAAAAAGCACAATTTTGTGTTTACTTTTGTTTATATCAATTAATTTCTTTGTGTATTTTTTTAAATGTTTATTTCACTCCTCCGCTTCACTGTTTATGCTCATCCTGTGCTGCAAATCTCATGACTGGTGATGCTTTGATTGTATATAGATAGAAGTGTTTATATTTTTCATCACAGGTTTGTTTATTCTTTTAGAAACTGTTGAAACATTTAGAATTTTATCTACGTACATTTTTCTAGTCACTCTTCTCTGTCTCTCTAATTTAATTTTACATGTGTGTCTATGTGTCAGTCAAAGCACAGTGTCTTCCTTTCATCATTACTTTGTGTGCAATTCAATCATTTTAAATTCATTCGTGCACTGTCCTTGTCTTTGTCTCTCAGCAATTATTGTTATCAATAGTGAGACGGCTTGAGCAACCGCGAAATGCGACAAGCCATGCTGAATCTTCTTTCTCGTCGTATTCAGCATTCGACATAACACGTTTGTCTTGTTGTATAAATACTCACAGCCATCCTCACTGTTGTAATCATTCTTATTTTCAAACCAAACGAACTCTTCTCTTTCGCTCTTTACTTGTAGATTATGGCTATCTCAGCAACTGACACAAAATCATACATTTCTGTTTTATCGTCACTTCTACCATATTATTCAGTTCTCGCTATCGGTAGCATTTTACACTTAAATTCACTGATCGACGATTCAAATCCACTTAAACATGATTTAATTGCACAAACAATTAATGATAAACATAAAACACATTTTTCTGCCATCGAAATTGAAAATGCTACCTACATTTCTAAACAAAGTCAAGAAGCTATTTAACTTCTTGGTCCACAAGTGATGATATTGTCAGTCTTATAAATTTATGTCATGAACAAAACACTTCGTTAATTGAACTGAAAATCAAATCATGTCCACATTGTTACAGGCGGGTACAAGCAACAACCGAAACAAACACTGTATCAGCATACCATTCAGGTGGGCTTCATTTAAGTTAGTTAACATTCATCGTCTCGTGTGTGACCATTCAAATTTACCAGACCTAGCACAAATACATTCAAAAAACAAGAACTTATGCCAATTTTTATGAAACCAATAAACAACGCTTCACAACACCTTCAATGTACAACAGTACTGATTATTTTTACATAAACAGCGGTTACTGTTATCATAAACACTTCCTGGATGATTTTGCGGTTCAAATGATATATCACCATTCTTCGAAAAATTCACACATTACTACAACGAAATGCCGAACGATACTAAAACTAAACTTACACGTGAAGCGCTGGAAACAATATTTTTCGTCCATCAATTAGTTAAAATACGTTTATATTTTGGAGGACATCAGATTCACTTCCATTTTTTTGGGCGTATCAAATTAATCAATGGATAGAATATTCATTTCAACAAAACTATGAATTATTTGTGCATTATTATCTAAATCATAAAGTACGTCATCAATGTATTAAACACTGTACACGATCACTCATAGGGGACGGTATAATGAAATGCGTCGCAGAATCTGTTTCTCTCATTCAAAATCAATCACAACACCAGAATTCGACTCGATTCAAGTAGGATGTTCCAATTCACCATTGTCCGGTAGCTATTTCTGCCATGAACATAATAATCTCAATGAAAATGATCTCACCGATTGTGTTCCAGCAAGTTAAATAGAATACGGCGAATCATCCACAATGACACTTCGTTCAGGAAGAAGAAGAATTAACGTCGGCTACCCCAAATTATCCTGTCGTACATTAGAAGAGGATCAACGTCCTGAAAAAGTAAGTCCCAGATAGATGTTCTTCCTTCTATTTTTGATGGTAAAAAATATACTGCCTAAAAGCCGAAGAATCTGCTCGTTTTGTAAATATAACTATGTAAAAACTGCACTTTACGTTTTTTCTCTAAAAAGTTTTAATATGAACTTATCTGAAATTATCTGTACTACAAACTGTGAGGATTCTCACTGAAGCATAGAAACTAACAGATGTTCAATAACAAAATTGAATCTCATAAAATGAAGCAAATGCTTGCGTCATATCATTGTAATAATCGCCTTTACAAAAATTGTGCTCGATATTAGTTATGCAGAAATGTTAAGAAGCGAAACCGTCAAAGAACTTATCAATAATATTTGTAACGTAATTAGAATTTCGCCGAACATTCCGGATCTTATTTTTTAGGACGATGCTTGTCATCTCGTGAAATTCATTTGCAATCATTACAGAAAGGAAATTAATGAAACTGCAGCAATGAATTTATTATGGAATAAAAGATTTCTTATTGATAAATTTCATTATCATAATCATATTGATCTATGGTGCAGACGATACTTGGACTATCGACAATTTCCTGAAACAGAAATTCTAAATTTACAATCATGCGAACAAACCAACAGTTGGCTTGGCAGATACAAATATATTGTTTCAGAAATGAATTATAGCAAAGCCAGCTCATTCCTATTAATTATATCTCATTATTATAATTTGAAAAAACTAATTAATAACGTCAAATTAAATAATGATACAGATTCAAAAATTAATAATGGTGGAGCCGATCAACAGCAAGATGATCAACACAACTGTTCGCCACGAAATTTGAGGTGTTATTCACTAGCACAGGAAGATGAACAAGATGACGAAATGGACACAGATGACGAATATGGATTAGGTACATTTCCATCATAAAAAAAAATGATCCGAGACTTTTAAACTCTTCCTGCTCCATATTTCTCGACAAACGAAAAACTTTTAGGGTAATGGAACAAGACCAAAATAAGGTGTCTGACAAAATACATCCAAATCGTGTTAGAAACACAATTTTTCGCTTTCAGTAAACTGAATGCATCTCTTCAAGAATCAGTGTTAAAAACTCAGGAGAAACACGATTCTTTGAAGGAATTTCTGCTCTACAATTCAGCCTTTACACAAAAATTTTGCAGTGATTGAATGAATCCAAATGAATTAAAAAGGATCTATTGAAAGACGTCGGACAATCTTAAGTATCTTAAAAAATTGATTAAAAGAATTAAAAATGCTTTTGTGCGAATTTAAGATAAACCGTCTTGTTCAGTTTCTCACTCTCTCTCGAATGATGGGTTTAAAAGCTTTTAACGTTATTTCATTGCTTAAAGTATCTCATTTTTTTGAAAGTTGTGCCACCAAATGCTTCCGCTCAAGTTTCATAATTATGGATTAGACTATTGTAAATCTTTTTTTTTAATAAGTTCATTAATAAAATAGGTACCAAACAAAATTAAACGCTAATAATATTTTCCATACACTAGACAGTGAATTGATAACCGAAGTATGGCAATTTACGGCTTGATCTTCTAAAGTACCTAGGACGAATTAGCAAAAATTTTCTACGAATTAATGTGAGAACTATGCTAATCGCGGCGATGAAACGACTCTACCTACTTTTAACCTCGTACAAAAACTTCTTGCCCTTTATATCAATTCGTATTCTACTATTTCGCGAAAATAACGGCGAATTCAGGAGAGAAGTATGCGAACAGACGAATCTAACAATTTTTAACCTCATACAAAAACGTCTGGCGCCTGATATCAATTCGTATTCTACGAAGTTGTGAGAATAACGGTGAATGGAAGTGAGAAGCATGCGAACCGGTTCGAAGAGATGAATCGAACAATTTTTAACCGCATAGAAAAGCGTCTTGCTTTTGATATTAATTTGTATTCTGCGATTTCGTGAAGATAATGGCGAAATGACGTGAGAAGTATGCGAAACAATTTTTAGCGTCACAGAAAAACGTCTTGCGCTAGTCTTCAATTAAGACTTTAAGAACTCGCGAAAATAACTGTTAATTTAGGTGCGGGGTATGCGAACCGATGCGAAGAGACGAATCTATCAAATTTCAACCTTACAGATAGCTTTCTTGCATTTCATATCAATTCGTACTTTGCGAATTCGTGAAAACGACGGCGAATTGAGGTGACAACTATCCAAGGGGGAAAAAACAACACTTCACTACACTACAATACACTTTTTCCACTACGGTAGTGGTGTCGTAGTGACTTTGTAGTGGTGGCGTATTGGATGTGTAGTAGATGAGTAGTGGGCTGTAGTGGTCATATGGTGGGCTGTAGCTAGCTGTGGTGGTTGTGTGGTGGGCAGTAGTGGTTATGCGGCGGGCTGCAGTGGATGTGTAGTGCAGAGTAAAACAAATACGTGTTGCATGTCCTGCAGTAAAAATGAATGATGGCTATAATACTTCACGCTTTTTTAAAAGAAATGATTGAAGATGGAAAGTGATTGAAATAAAAACAAAGTGACAGTGACGAGATTCGAACTCGTGACTCCGGAGAGACCAGTGCCTTAAACTGGCGCCTTAGACCGCTCGGCCACACTGCCTGTCTTCTTTTAAGACGGAAAAGATTTAAAAATGAGCTGTAACAAAAACGTGAACGTATATATCTAAGAAATCAAGGGGGAAAAAACAACACTTCACTACACTACACTACACTACACTACACTTTGCACACTTTGGTTATATAGTGGACTTGAGTTAGCTGTAGTGGTTGTGTAGTGCACTGTAGTGGATGTGCGGTGGGGTGCAGGGGATGTGTAGTGCACTGTAGTGGACAATCCCTTGTAGTGTAGTGTAGTGTTGTTTTTTCCCCCTTGGAACTATCCGAAGTGATGTAAACAGACGAATCTATCATTTTTTAGCATCATAGAAAAGCGTCTTGCGCTTGATATCATTTCGTATTTTACCAATTCCTGAAAATGACGGCGAATAGAGGTGAGAAGCACAGTGGGCAATCACATGGAAATTAGGTAAAAAAACGAAAGCTACTTTTTTAATGATTTAAATAGTGTTTTACACTAGCCAATGGCCAATTTAATGGTCAAAACAATTTGATCCAAATGGTTTAGTGGTCGGGATGAGTAAGTCCCAATTTTTTGCAATTTTTGCTACAACTCGATGAAAATCGTTTTCGCTTGTCAAATAGGCAGTCACTTAAAAACTGTAACATATATATTCTGAAAACTGCGCACTTGGGCTATTGGTTCATAAAAAAGTTTTTGTCCGAACGGGTTTTCGAAAAGGAAAGAACATGATTTTTATCTGCACGAGATGTCTTTCGGAAACATGCGCCCAGCAAAATGGGCACGCTATCCACATCCAAGCTCTGTTTTTAGTGAAACTTTCAGCAATTGGTCCTCTTTATGTAGCACGTCTAGATGGAATGCCCAAATTTGCCCAAACATTTCTCGGCGAAGTTGTAGATTTTACAAAAACCCTGGATTTGTATCGTTTTCTTAGGTTTTTTTTAGTAGAAAAGCATCCTAGCTAAAAAGTAAGGACATATTCGGAATCAGCATCAAAAACTGCATCGAATGATGTGTCCTTTTACCGCTTTCAACGCATGTATGCTAAATTTTTCTGAAAATAGATTTTCCAAGGTTTTTCTCTAATGTTAAAGCTGCTGTTTTTGTACGGCATGAGCGTTTGAAAATTGTGAAAATCAGTTTTCTATAGGTTTTCGGCCATAAAGAATCTAATGGTGGCTTTGAAAAACTTTCAAAGTGGTTTTTTGAAGGTTTCCAAGAGACTGGATCTCTGGAAAACCACCATAAAACCAGATTTTAGCTGGGATACGGATCCCATAAGAAAGAGCCTATTAAAAACAAATTTTTCGGTTCAACGAATCGCTCTGAAACAAATTTCTACATGCCTATTGAAAATTGCCCACTGTGAGAAGTATGCGAACTGGTTCAAAGAGACGAATCATCAATTTTTAACGTCACAGAAAAACATCTTGCGCTTGATATGAACTCGCATTCTACTAATGCACGAAACTAACGGCGAATTTAGCTGAGAAGTATGCCAGTCGATGCGAAGAGACGAATCTATCAGTTTTAGACCTCATAGACAACCTCTTTGCTTTTGATCTTAATTCGTATTCTACGATTTCGTGAAGATAACGGCGAATTGAGGTGAGAAGTATGCGAATAGATGCGAAGAGACCAATCTATCGTTTTGTAACGTCGTAGATAACTTTCTTGCCTTTGATACCAATTCGTATTCTACGAACGCCCGAAATAACGGCGAACTAAGGTGAGTAGTATGCGAAGAGATGCAAAGAGACGAATCTATCCATTTTTAACCGTATAGATAGCTTTCCTGCCGTTGATATGAATTAGTATTCTACAAATTCACGAAGATAACAGTGAACTGAGGTGAGAACCATGAGAACCGATGCGACGAGAGGAAACTATCAATTTTTAGCATCACAGAAAAACGTCCTGCGCTTGGTATCACTTCGCATTTTCCGAGTTCCTGAAAACGACGGCGAATTGAGGTGAGAAGTTAACGAACCGATGTGAAGGGAAGAATCTATCAATTTTTAATCTCATAGACAACTTATCAAATTTCAACCCCATAGATAAGTTTCATGCATTTCATATCAATTCGTACTTTACGAATTCGTGAAAACGACGGCGAATGGAGGCGAGAGGTTAACGAACCGATGCGAAGAGATGCTATCAATTTTTAACCTCATAGACAACTTGCTTGCCTTTGATATCAATTCGTTTTTTACGGATTCGTGAGAATAATGGCGAATTGACGTGTGAAGTATGCGAATCAATTTTTAGCGTCATAGAAAATGACATTTCAAAATGATCAGTCACTTCCTAAAATATATTCAGCGGTTAATGTTTTTGTGATCGATGCTTGAATTTTTGTTATGATACCACCTATTTTAACCGTTAATTTCACCATGCCTAAAACTTCAAGAGGAATGATATCATCCGCTAGCCAATACTCCTTTACCTTGGTGAATGGCTGATAATATCCTAATTTTAATAATGCTGATGTACTAATAAAACTGCCTGATGATTCCGTATCCACCATAACCCGCATTGATCGATTATTAACTTGTATTGTAATAAATATTAACGATAAATTTGAACTTTTGTTTTTGGAGTCATCATCATCCGATGGCTCCATTACCCGTTTGAATGTGGGCAGTCCCGACGCAGGTGACCCGGACTGTTACAGTTATAATATAATTTACCTGCTCTACCTCGAAGCTGTTGTAATTTAGTTTGGTCGTGTTGGTGCTGTCTCGATTGGTCGAATCGTGTTTGTGTTTGTTGAACAGGAGATGCTCTTCGTTCTTGACCTTCAGGGCTAGGACAAGTACAAGTACCTCAAGTAAAAGTATTATACTTGTACTTACAAAAATGTACTTGATACTTGTACTTATACTTTAAGAAAAATACTTGGTACTTATACTTGTACTTCGAGATAAATACTTTTGTACTTGTACTTAAGTACAAAAACAGAGTACTTTGTACTTTTATTTGAGGCATATATGAAATAAATTGTTTGAGTAAAGTTGAGTAGCTGTAATGGGTTTTGAAGACGATCGTTGTATGATTTGATTACAAAGGAGCGAGTATTCGCATATTTTAACGGGAATTTTCATTTTAATATGACGATAAGCTCACCACATATCACTTTTAAAATCATCTATTTCATTATCCTGATTTCTTCGAAATTCAATGGGCATCTCGAAATAATCACGCTGGTTCGGTTTAATGTCATAGTCAAATATAGTTTCTGATGACACTAAGATAATTTCAAGTGA